CCGAGCCATAATGTAAAAGGAAAAAAGCCTTCCTTACTCATAGCAGAAATCCAAGTTTAAGAGAGATCATTTTGTAGCCCATAAAAAGTGGGGGCCACACACTGGCCGCAATGAAATCATCCTCATAAACAGCAGCTTGGCTCCATTTTGGTTAGGGGGATATTTCCAAGCAAAAGCTGGAGAAGTGAGGCAGCAAGAAAGCCCGCAATACGCAGAAATCTGGGGAGGGGGGAGGAATCCAGATATTTGGCTCAGAATCAGCCCCATTCAGTCAGGCCTGGGGTTACACTGACAGCTGCCTCTGCTCCCCATCGGCCCAGGAATTGGTGCCAGGCCTCACACCAAGTTCTTTTGAAAAGACCAGCCCAAGACACCTACCGCATTGGGGGGGGGGGGGGTCTATACTCCCCCCCACCCTCCAAAATATCTGCAGTGTTTGCAGGAGAAGCCTGCCTGCTTTAAAGCCAGTCCTATGAAGGAAGGCGTCTGTAATACATGGGAAATATTGTCCCTTGAAGACGCAGCGTTGCTGATGCCAGGGAGAGTCATGGAATCAAGGGGCAGCTGGCTGGAAACAGGTCCACTGAATGTGATTGTTTTGTTTGTGAGGTAGGACACATGGAATCACACCACCAGCCTAGACTGAAGCTGTTGTCGGTTGTGCTCTCAACTGGGAAAAGGGTTTGGTAAATGGGCATAACTCTCTACAGGCCTCTTCCAAAACAGAAGACCTCATATTTAACAAAAACCAGGTTGAAGATGAAAGCATACGCAGATGGAGCTGGATAATTCACTGGAGTTTTGCAGTTGGTTGCACTTAGCATGCTCTCTCCATAGCTGCAAAATGCTCTCAATGCCCATCTCCATCCCATCCCAATCTGGGGCCTCTTCCTTCCATTGATGGAGATTTGATGGAAACTTCCTTTCCTGCATCTCTCTTCCCCTCCAAGGCAAAAGCCACCTAATAGCATGTTCCCTCTAGATTTATACTGAAATATATGTTTCCCACTAGTCCCAGATGAAAGATACGGCCACTCTTTGAACGTTACGCAATCCCCTCCCAGCATCTCCTTTCAGGTTGCTACCCATCCGTGTCCATTGGAATCCTGGTTTCTATGTAAAGCCCCCACCTAGTCTCATGTGTCCCATCCATCTTCCAAGCTCTCCTTAACAGGCAATCCTCAGACTCCCCTCACTCCTTCCCTGCAGAGACTTCATGCTTCTTCCCTGGTGGGCTCCTCGTGGGTGGGAAAGCAAGGTGAGACCTTACAGGAGAAGGCCAGGAAGGGGAGGGGGGGTCAAGGGTGTTTCCTGTCAGCCCTTGGCTGATGTGCCTGCAATTTAAAGGGAGTGGAAAGAAGATACAACTAGCTGGGCAAGAGATCCCTTGGCGTTCGACTCATTGCCTGAATGAATGAGGCAGAAGCCGCAGAAGCAACACTTCCAAACCCATGTATTTTCAGATGCTCGCTCCCATCTGCGCCAGAGGCAATGGTAAAAAGGTTATCGTACAGCGACAGTTCAGCCAAGGTCTTGCGGAGTAGACTCCCCTGTCTGGTGCTGGATTACCCAACTACGGAGGAGGAAAACTCCACCGGTTGGAGCATGAAACCATCCGCATTCTTAAAGTGCCTGAATGAAAACCTATGGCAATCCACGGAGGCCACGTTCCACTTTCTTCGTACCAATTAATTAGGCTAGATAGAAGTATTCATTCTCCAGAAGCCGTTTAGTGCAAGGACAACAGAAGAACACAAAAGGAACAAAAAAATAAAATAAAAGGCACAAGCATTTCCTCCTTTTCCCTTTTTTCCCCCTAACACTTTATAATATTCCTCTGGGTTACTCAGTTTAATGTAATCACCAAAAACAGCTATAAAATATCGTACTAATTTCTGTACACTATACACCTCTATCCTACATTCCCCCCCACCCACCCACACCCCCCCCCAAGGGTAGACCTTTGAGGAGCTTCAAA